GGCGGCCCACACCATCACCATGGCCGGCGCTTGAGTTCTGGTGGCCAACCGAAGGTGCACATTTTCAGCTGACGTCTTTGGCAAGTAAACACGATCATTCTGAACAACGAATGTCTTCTCATCGGAGAAAACCAAATTCGGCAGTTAACCACTTTCGGCCAAGCGAAACCACTCTTTAGCTCCTTTGAGTCTACTTTCTTTCTGTTGCGTTGTAAGTTCTTGCACTTTTGGGATTTCAATGGCTTTACCCCGAGCTGATTTTTCAATATTTACAGAATGGAATATTGCGATATGCTCAGGTCACAAGCCATTTTTCGGCCACTGCGACACGGGTTTCGTTCAAGTCGCTTCTTTACTTTTCGAACCATTTCTGCTGATGTTGCTGTTTTCTTCCGTCCACTTCCTTGACGTCGGGCTACGCTACCAGTATCACGGTAACGAGCGATGGTACGAGACACAAAAAATTTTATTTATATTTAAAAGCTGAAGTGCTCTACCGATAGTCACTTGTGGTTTTCAGCCAAATATAAAGAAATCACACTATCACGCTTGAATTCCATCACGAGTGATTTTTTTATGGAAAATTCTGACCAGAATGATTTTCTACGGTTGTAAACAATATAATGAGCTGTCACTGGAAAAATTTTAACAGCTGTCGGAAGAGTGGCTTAGAAATGACAGTAGTTCACCTGTCTCACAGCAGTCTCACCCTGTATTTTCTATGCCATTTTGGATACATTTTTGGTTAATATGAATTATGTTTTCCCTTCTATCCATATAATACGGATAAAGCTCATGCTCAATTTACCAGTATTTTCATGACCCTCAAATCTGAGAGACTTTCGTTTCATTAATATATCGATACTTCCAAAGCCCTCAAATGACCTCCGCCATTTCAAAATCCTTGAATGCAATTTAAAAATTAGTTTAATTTTCGTTGCTTTGCATTTGCAGCTGCTCTCTCGCACACAGCGAACTGCTGGACGACAAACCTATTCAATGAGAAGAAAGGACAAAAAGGACGAGATTTCAGGTCGGGGCAAAATGCATTCTATACAGCCTTTTGTGTTCTTTGGCGTTTGCTGTCAATCTGTCAAACGTGATAATTTCAGTGGCAGCTGGTCTCTTAAATTTGTCCATGGCAAACAGAATTTTGGTGTTGAAATTCTGACAGCAGCAGCCGCAGGAGTCGAGAGCTGGGCAGAAGCGACCATCACCCATGTGCGAGTTAAAACTTTAATTGGAAACAATTTCTGGAAATACAAACAAACAAACAATTGATGAATTTCACTTTAACAAAGTTTAGATGGTTGTTTCGTCCATCAAAATATCCATCCTATTTTATGCAAACTCAGAGACAAGGCAATGGAATGGGAGCCCTCAGAGTTGGGTGGCTGGTAGGCCGACCAATCAATGAATGACACTGCTGCTGCATCAGGCATTAATGCTGGCCATAGCCAGCCTCGGTGGCTTAAAACCAACATGATCGGGCATCATAATAATATTTGACAGCTGTTCGGTTGCAGCATAGACACATGGCTGGTCCGTCGGTCTAGCTATGGCCTCCGGTTAGCCATTTGCGTTCACTTCCATGTTTGTTCTTTATGATGCAGTCCCCTTTTAGGTTATGCAATATATTCCTCCCCTATGCCAGCTATCCACTGGGGGTTCGGGGAGCTTATGCAATGTATATCGGTGTGTGCGTGTGTTTGGGTGCATCCATAATAAAGTTAAAGTGTGAAAGTTGGTGGCATTAAATGACAGTTACTGTCTGTTATTTGTCATTTCTGTCGCAGTTTCTGTTGTCCATTAGATGTGCGGAGCGCGAGAGTGAGTGAGTCAGTGTGCGTGTGTGTGTACAAGTGTATAAATGCTTGTGTAAAGAACCCCATTGCGACCATCACCATTACCAGCAACAGCATCAGCACTAGCGATACATGTCAATTTAAGCATAATATGCTGGCTATGCAGGGCGGTAGGGGGAGGATGCAGGGGCCCTCTATAATTTGTCCCGTAAACGAAGCCTATGTCGAATTTACTGAAAGAAAATTTTGTCTTACAATTTTCCACAGTGGAATCTAAATGGAACCCAAGATTCGAAGCATCTCTATGTCAACAGAAGGTATATAGTATAAGTATAATCAAATCGGCTATGACAGTGGGGGCTACTCTGGAAGATGTATGTTTACATTCCTTCCAAACACACAAATTGTAGACTGTCTGTTGATTGATAATTCGGTTCTTCAGTGGGCAGCTGAACTCCTCGCAAATATATTCAATGTAGGTCCACTTTTTAGTATTGGCCCCACATTACGATCCCTTCTGATTTTCGGTATTGTAACGTTACAGAATCTATCAGGTACATAATAGGAACAAGCTAACAATAGCAATAACAAAGGATACTTAACAGCAGTTATTTCCTAACCGACCTTCAGCGACACAATATGCCGACAAAGAACTCTACCACCATAAGCAATGATTACACCACTTATCGAGGAATAGCCACTCATTTACTTTTATAATCATAACAACACATGAGAAATAATTCTCATTCACTTGGCTATGGTGGTGACATACAATGTTTTCATTTTGGTAAGCCCCCTGCTTGCCCCCTCCGTATACGTATTGATTTCAAATAATTTACTGACCTCCGACTAACAAGAATTGTAAGCTGGGAATATCTTTTTTTGTGGCAGGCTCTTATTAACCTAAATGGCTTATAATACATTGACACTTAGACTTCGGGCTCCTTGTCCCAACAGACATTTAGACTAGTAACGTAGAGGTAGTCGTAGACTTTAGTATCGCCCGACTAACAAACCTCCGAGCACCGATACGAGTTCTCGACCATCTACTCCTCGTAAAACGACCCCAACACCTGTGAGATAAAAACCTTTTACCAGAGTTCCCGATTATAGCGAGCGTCATCACCGTGGTTTCCGACCAGAGTTCCCGATTGTTACCCAAGCAGCGAAAACGTCTACAATCCGATCAGCAAAATCATCTACAACCCTAGCATCATCATCGTGGTCACCGACCAGAGTTACCGATCATAACCCTTGCGACAAAATCGTCTTCAACCCGGCAGCGGAATCATCTATGGCCCGAACGTCATCACCGTGGTTTGTGACTAGAGTTCCAGATTATTACCCAAGCAGCAAATCATCTACAACCCGATCAACAAAATCATTTACAACCCTAACATCATCATCGTGGTCCCCGACCACAGACCAGCAAAATCATTTCATCATCTTGGACCCTGACCAGAGTTACCGATCAAAACCCTTGCGACAAAATCGTCTACAACCCGAACAGAAAAATCATTTACAACCCGAGCGTCATCACCATGGTCCCCGACGACCATTCGCCGATTATAAACCCTACGGCGGCAAATATTTAAACCGAACAGTGAAATTATCTACAGCCAGAATTCCCAATTATCCTTGGAACATCTGTAATATAGTGTTCCCCGACGACCATTCGTCGCAGTTCCGATTATCGTTCAAATCGTCTACAGGTCAAAAAGCGAAATCGTCTTCAATCCGAAGATATCATCGCGGTCTCGATGATCGAAAACCATTTATCAGATATCCGGATTACCTTTAAATCGTCTGCAAACCGAAGATCTTCATCGTAATCCATGGATACTCGACGTCCATTCATCAGAGTTGCGATTATCATCCAATCATATGCAACCCGAAAATCATCGCGCAATGTAAATCGGACACCCGATTTACATTTATCAGAGTTTATCTTCAAATCGAAAGAGAAACCGAATCTGTAAGTTCGGATCGGGCCGAAACTTTAATACCCTCCACCATTTGGAACGAATTTGGCAATTTTCCGTTAAAAATTATGTTAAAATCTTAAATTCTGAATGTAGCCGTTATATTAGGATCTATACGAAGACGTGGACCTGCACAGACAATTTTCTGTCCTAGCTGTAGTACCCATTATGAACTTCGAATACCAAATTTGAACCAATTCCGGTGAATAATGTCGCTTAAATCATCAAAATACCGAATATCGGGAGGTACCGTTATATGGGGGCTATACGAAGACGTGGACCTGGAAAGACAATATTTGACTAGACTGTAGTATCCATTACGAAGCAATTCCGATGAACAATGTCGCTAGAATCATCAAAATACCAAATATAGGGAGATACCGCTATGTTGGGGCTATACAAGGACGTGGCCCTGCACAATCTTTTGTCTTAGGCTGTAGTATCCATTATAAACATAAAATACCAAATTTGAAATAATACTGGTGAATAATGTCGCTAAAATCATTAAATTACCGAATATACGGAGGTTCCGTTATATGGAGGCTATACCAAAACGTGGACCTACATGGCACATTTTCAATACCAAATCCTGCAGACATTATATAATTTGAGTAAAATTTTATCAACCTACTTCGTTTCATTCGGAAGCTAGAGCGATTTCCACAGACGGACATAGCTAAATCGACATAGAATTTTATGCTGATCAAGAATATATATATATTTTGTGGGGTCTAAAATGTATATTTTGAGGTGTTACAAACGGAATGACAAACTTAATATACCGTCCATACTATGGTGGAGAATATAAAAACTCCCTCCATGATAGGGGTACATTTCCGAAACCCATATTTTTAGATGCTTTTTTACATATGTATAAACTAGACTGTTCGAAATATCGAACACTGGTTACTTGGAAAACGAAAAATCGGATATTATTTTTTATTAAATTTTTGACATCAGTGGTCCCAAATTATCCTAAAAAAATATTTTTTTTTATTAAATTTACTTTTGAAATAATTTGAAATAAAGGTCGAATTAAATAAAAAAACAGAACATTTTTCAAAAACAAAAATAAAAATTAAATCTCAGATCGAAATGGGTTAAATCCACATTTACGCAATTAATCCCGAGTTGTATGTTATCTAGCATTTAAATCTATATTTTTTTTTTCATTAAAATTAGTGGCTTATAAAAACCCTGGCTGCGACTAAGTTTACCTTAGCTGAAGAGAGAAAATCACGTTACAGTTTTTAAAAATTGTTGGCCTCTAATTTTCAACGAACTCAGCTATAATTTGAAAATTGTTTTTTTTAAGTAGACTACTCCTCTTAATGAATACAGGGTTGCTCATATTCGACGAACCCTCTGGCAGAGATGTCACATCGCTTAATGACATACCGCGTTTGAAGCAGAAGTCCAAGCAGATTTTTACTATGAACCATACACGCCACGCGGGGCTCTGAATGGTTGAATTTACATTCAACAGAAGAAGTCAATTGTGAAAAAAAATGTGAGAGTGCGCCTTCTAAGAACACCATTAGCGTTTATCCGAAAATTTCGACTGGTAAGCTCTTTTCTAATCCGAAGAGGCTATATAAAGTCGATTAGGCGATCGGCCAGAATATCGCTGGCCGTACGAGCGTGTTGAGAGGTCCCCAAGAACCCCAAAAACGCCGTTCTCACATTGGGCATGGCTCGGCCATTTAAAGGAACATCGAAATTTTAGGAATCGTGAGGATAGCTGATTTGGTTACCAGTCAATTTTCGACGTTCCGACCAGCCATTTTTTACGTGTTTCCTCGTGAATATCCTATCTATCTGACATAGAAAGTTCAGATCTTTTTCATTTCAGATCCTTCTCATTTATGTAACGAGGATCGGGTCATATCTTCTTCATAAGAATGTTGTGCCTATAAACTCTACAGTTATTTGCAAGGCCTTGTACATCCTTGCTAAGGATGTACCACTCTCGATGGCGCCCAACACCTGCAGCTATTCATAGATTTGCATTTGCATGCATGTGACAGTATGTCCTTATTTATAAATGGGGTAGTTGGGCAACTATTGCAAATATACCTACAAACATTCACACTCACATGGTACCCATCCATACCGTATTTCGTATGTGTGTGTGTTCATGTATTCGCTTAAGCAATTAACATAATTGCCAAAGGGCCTCAAAGGACAACAAAAACAGTAACAAACACAAACGCGTGCTCACACACACAGTGTAACAAGTCCAGGCAACAAAACTGTTGTGCAAAAAAATCGAGAGAACCGACATGAGAAGGTCATGTTGCTGTGTCTGTGTGTGTGTTGGCAGTTTATGCATTGTTGTATTGTTTAATAATATTTTAATAATTTT